GGCTATGTCGGGGGGGGGGAGGTTACGTCTGCTTGATGGCTTCGGGATGGAGTCAGAGGCTGTTTCAACGCAGTAGCGGGGTACTGCGGCTATATGGGGGGGGGGGGGCACGTCTGCTTGATGACTTCGGGACAGAGTCACAGCAGTACAGCTCACTAACAACGCCGGCTGCATCAGCGTCGAGAGAGCTACCGCTGCCGGTGATGCGTCTACGTCAGGTTACCCTCGCCATGTAACGCTCTCCACTACTCCGGAACCAATGGTGCATCTTTCAGAGCGGAGCTTGAAATCAAACCGCCAGCGCCAGGCGTCGCTTATGCCAGTGGAACTGCTCCACTCCGCCAGCTACTTCGCGGATCGTGATCACTGAAAGTCTACGTCCTTGCATCGGCTACCCTTTTTAACCCCTTATCCCTAACCGCCTAACTACCGCACGAATTCCGAGCGAGAAGTGTGGCTGCGGGAAATCGTTTCTTTGCCTTCAAAGGAAGCGAAAAAGAGATGGTGTGCTGGACACAAGCCAGCCGCACAGCAGTAACTTCACACGCCCATATTTTCTAGACCATAGCGTCAAGGAGCCAGCAGACGCACGTGACCTGCAACAACTCGATCCTACCTGGGTCTAACAGCTTGAAGGTACGCGAAAACGTCCAGGTTTGCAATGTCGTCCGCAGCGCTCACCCACAGCGACACCACCGGGTATCCCGTCACCTGTTCGGGATTTGTTTGTTGAGAGAGAGGTTATGCGAAGCGTGTAACACAGCAGTATTTCAGGATGGGCGGGTGCTTCGTAAATGCTACCCCTAGACTGCTGGGGCTCTGTCGCTAAATGGACAGATGACAGATGGGAGAAAAGCCAAGCATGATGACAACTCGACCGAATGAGGCACACCCATGACAACAACAGAAATACGGGTAAGGCAGAACCAAGATAGAGATGAGGTGTCAACCCTTCTAGCCACGGCGCAAATGCAGCTGTGCGGCTATCCCTTGCTCTTTCCAATCCCTCCGCGCGAGATCAAACGTGTCGAAGACATGGGGTCGTGACTACCACTGTCGCTGCCGTCCCTTTGAGATGACAAGTATTAATCTGCAAAGAGTTAACGACCCAATCAAAGCAATTGTACGGCGAATTGGCTATGCGCTACCGAAACGACGGTGACAAGCATTCTTCTCTGCAATTCCGCACCTCTATGTCCTGTCTGAGCGGCGCAGAGGTGAAGCGCAAGTGGTTCGACCGCATCCCGTCCATCTGAAGAACAAAGAAATCAGCATCGCCATCGTCGTCATAACCATGAGCGTCGCCGGAACGGAACCGCCATGCCATCAGCACCGAGATCATTCACCGCTACAGTAGGGTTAGGGTAATCAAGCCATGCCAAGACGGCAGAGACACAAGCACCAAGGCGACCTCGGAAAACAAGAAAAAGGGCACGGGAAAAAAAGCTGGTAGACAAACATTTCGAGAGGAACGGGGCGACCTGCACTTTTCCGAAAGAGGTGCACGTGGGACACAAAACCCTACCGACACCGATTAGAAGGATAGGCCGTCGTCACGTCCTTTGGTTGTTCACCTGGTAGGAGATTAGGCTCAAAAACTCGGTCATGGCTGCCCATCGGCTGATCCCTTCGCCGTCATGGTCTTCCAACATGTCCACCTCCAGCTCGTGGGTCTTGGCCTCCTCTTCCCGCGCCCCCGAGCCTTGGGACAGCGTGAGCTTCGTCATTGCCACAGTCAGACACAATCGAGCCAGCGCAAACGGAGGGTTAGGGTTAGGGTTAGGGTAAGGGTTACAGTTAGCGGTCGCTGTTTTGTCCATGAACGAGCGCAGTTGGAACGTTTCACGTGGCTTTCACGACCGTCTGTCTGCTTCACTTCGCGAGCTGCGTTGCCATGGTCACACACGACCGCAGAACGGCAGAAGCGGAGGCTACGCTCCCCTCACCCCACTGCAGGGCCGGCCGGCCCAAAAACGCGACGCCCCATAAACTCCTGGGGGGAGGAGAGGAAAATGTGCATGACACTGCCGTACACCCTTGCGTCGTGCGCGATACTACGTATACACGACGGAGACAGAAAGAACCACAACGATGCTTGTGGTGGTGAGGACGCAACTTCAATGCCAACCGCTCATCCTACTATTAATAACCTATTAAACCCAAAGCATACCCTGTTGTCTACCCCACCGCCGCTAGTCGCCAACCACCACCACCGCCTCTCACCCTAGGGTTCCTGAAGGCTGGCCAGCTTGCCAAGCGTGATGACAGCCTTCCCCTCACGCCCCGCTTAGCCTCCGCACCGCTCCCGTCCGCCGCAGCCTCGCCTCCGCTGCTCTTCAGCACACGTCCAGTCTGCTCAGAGCCCCCACCACCCTCGCTGCCCTCCACCCCCTCAGCGCTAACGCCATGGTGGATCGTTGGCGCACCCCCCCCCTCTTTCTGCGCGTTTGTTGCGGCCCCCCCTGGGACTGTCTGCATGGTGGAGAGCGGGCATTGTTCTGTGCCGCCTAGGAACAGCGACACGTCGGTCTTGTCGGCGCGATCCGAAGGAAAATCGGCGGAATCGTGCCATCTTTCTTCCTGCCGAGCAGGAACATGTTCGAAAACAGCAACCAACCGCGGAGTGTTGTTGGCGGTAGGGGTGACAAACAGACACTTTATCAGGGAATGGATGGCAGTGATTGAGCCATGGGACCCGAAAAAGAGGGGTTTGTGCCAAAATAGAGCGCTGTCTTATGTACCTGGAACGTCAAACCCACCGTTCCCACTAATATATTAGGCAAGGTAGGGCGCGCGTGCTACCACGCAGCTGCCACTGTGTGCAAACGCATCACCGCATGCATACTCTGTCGAAGCGTACATAAAAAAAAAACGCCTTTTGGGAGGCGACGTGGAAAACCAGAACTTGCCTGTCGAGTGAAGCATCTGACATGCTTGATCCATCAGAAATAAAATAGAAAATAAAGAGAACAATTCCTTTTGGAACGTGACGTGGAAGATAAAATGTCTCCGCCTGTTGCGTGAAGTATCTGACACATGATCTGTCGGGTCTGCTGCAAATAAACAAAATGTCTCTTGGAAAGTGACACGGAACAAAAAAAGAAACACCCCCCTTGCCTGGTGCGTAAAGTATCTGACCCTAGGCCGGGCCCTCTTCCACAAGGCCTTCGACTCCTGGCTCTCATCGAGGAGAACGCTCGCGCCGCCGCCGCCGCCGCCGCCGCCGCCGCCGTCCTCCACAGCAGCGGTACCAGCCTCCGTCGCCACAGCATCAACACCGGCGGCGGCATCGGCACCGGTATCGCCGCCGTCTTGCAGCAGAGGCACAGATTGAGTGGGCGACGACGATGACGGCACGTCTAAGCGCGCGGGCGTGGTATGGGCGGGAGACGCGGGTGCTTTTGCCGAGTCCGAAGGGGTGTCTTGGGAGAGACGCTGAACCAGGAATCCTGAAACTTCTGTCTTGAAGTCAAACCTGGATGTTTTTTTATGGTGTACGCGTCCAGCGGAGGTTCGGTGCGGCGAGACCGACGGCACCAGAGAGCAATCGAAAACGAAAGAATAAACTACTGATCGTGATCATGGGCGGGGGCGGAGAAGTACCAAAATGTGCGGTAGGGATCAAAAGAAGAGGAAGGAACAAGCGAATCATCGCAATCGTGTGGGGACAAAACTACCAAAACGGTGCGGTAGAGAGTACCAGGAGAGGAAGGAATCAGCTGATCATGGCGATCATGCGCGGAGAAACTGCCTTAATCGTGCGGTAGAGAGCAACATTAAGGGAAGGAATAGGCTGATCGTCGCGATCCCTTGCGGAGAAACTACCAATACTCAGAAACATCACACGGGGTGTAAATCCTTCCCAGGGAAGCGAAGTGCGTCACCAAGATAACTATGAGACAGTGATGTACGATAGCGCCCTCTATAACTTGTCTTTGTATGCAGGACCGTGGTGGCTACGTCAGCCGTCGCCGGCCGGTCCTACGAGGGAAGGATTGAGTAGGGTAATAGATATTACAGTTACAGTTACAACGATTTCCAAGGTGATGGCGACGAACCAATAACGACGACGACGACAATAACAACAACGTCGACGACCACCTGCAGATGTACAAAACATCAAGAAAGGGTAAGAAAAACACTTTTTTCGGGTGCGGATAAGCGGATAAGTTTCTTGTCTGCAGCAGTACGCGACTACAACGAAGACATCGAGGACAATTGCAACAGCAACAGCAACAGCAACAAGTACCATAAGACGGGTACTGTACTCACTTAGACAGAGTCGTGACGTGGTGAGGCCGGACGTGCTGGTGCCCCCCATGGTTCCAGGGTCCAACCAGAAGCTCCGAGCCTCTGTCGGAAAGTCGCCGAGGGAAAGCACAAGAGATCCATCACCACGTCATAGCAGAAACGTAGCACCGACAAATCAATCGTCGTTACTTCAAGACAACAACGAGTGAAGGCTATTTGTACCTCGACTAGAGGGTTGCGGGTAGGGCTTTAGGGCTAGTTTCTACGGCCACCACCGCCGCCTGTAGATCGATCTCCCCTCTAAGTGGATTATCGATTGTGTTCTTCAAAAGTGGTAATATTAATAAGTGATTCTTCCTTCCTTCTCGATGCCCTGAAAAAGAAAGCCCCCATATGGGAGATTTTTACAACCGCTGGCGAAAACGTCACCCAAATCAGCCATCGCACATTTACAAGTTAATATTGCCGAAGAGGACAACAACAAATGGCCATCGACAACCGCTGGCCAAAACGTCGGCCAAACCAGCCACCGCAGCCGACGCAATACACAGGCAGGAACCCCTAAATCCTGCGTCAGGATCGCTTCTACTGAATAGATATGAGCGTCCGTAGGCCACAAGAAAAAGGAGGCAGGTCCAAACGCTGAGTAGTCGGAGATTATCACTCACCTACAAGGGAGCGTCGTGAAGGCCATTACCGCGGCGTGCGCAGACGCATCAAGCCATCCGGACACGTGAAGGTAGAAAGGGAGGACCTTCTCTAAGCTCTCTTCTTCCTGCTGCTGCTGCAGCAGCAGCTGCGGTGCCTCCTCTACCGTCTTTTCATCACCACTCTGTGCTTGTCTAGTGGCGCCGTCGTTTTTCTCCTGGTCGTCCCCTTCCTCCTTCTCTTCAAAACTGCCGCTGGTGCCGCCACCAGCCCCTGCGCTCTCCCCGCCGCTATCCTCGCAGTCGTTCTCTTCCGTGCTGCGCTTGCCGTTGGGCGTGGAATCAGACTTCCGCTCACTACTCTCCTCCGATGAACAGTCCGCGTTCAGTGCGGAGGTACTTCCATCCAAATTTGGCGGTGATGCCTGGAGAGAAACCGAGTTATCAGCGTTGAGGTCAGGGGGGGGGGGTGTACCCGTAGTCTTGCATGCCGTAGTCGTTAGACCATTGACCTCGCATCCCTACAAAGCCGGGACAGAGCGATATGCCAGGTTTTCGCCGGCCCAGGCTACGTTTATCAATGATCAACCAGAAGCTGTCGGGGGGGGGCGAGGGGGGTTGTTGTACAATCTAGATGCATGCCTGTGGTTACCGCAGCCCGTGGGGTGGCCGCTGGTTGGAAGAAGGTGTGAGGACAAGCGCGTTACGCTGTCATAGGATCATAGAGAAAAATACAGCTGAAGGTCCCTCTTCTTTGAAGCGTCTCCTACGGAAATGAAACAAAACGTGAAGGTCAAGCATATAGCATTGAGCCTCACAATTTATAAATTTCGTTCCATGATGCACATCAAAACCCAAAGCCGGTTCTTCAAGCTCAAACCAACCGCATGTTGGACCGCGCCAGATTTCCCGTTCTCCGAAATCAGCCAGTAGGATATCGGCCGCTCTCTACATGCCACAAACTCACAACTTAAGTTTTAGTACTGTAGGAGAGGTGCTAAGCGACATCAACATTCGGCTACATAAGGGGATGACCACTATCTTGGATAATAGGAAACGAGGGCCGACAAGGCTGACCGCCGGTAGCCTAACGCACCAAGGTGGCGCACGAGGGTTCCTCGGAGCCAGGGCCACCACCACCGCGTGGGTTTGACGACGGCCCTGGAGCGGGGCCTAAACACCCGTGCCTCTCGGCGAGGAGCTTTTGCACGGCTTGGCTGGCGCAGGCAGACCCGACCATGCGGCCAGTCTGCCTCGACCTGTCGTCCATGTACCGGATGTGGTCGTCCTCGAGAAGACTCCAGTTGTCTCTTATGGCGTAGTGGAAAGGAGAGGCGCAGACATGAACAAGGGGGCATGTGATGAGGCTTTCCGGAGGGGCAGCAACGTTGACGGTTTCTACTAGAAGACGTGGTATGTACATACGTATGAGGTTTTCCGAAGGGCCAGTTGACGGTTTCTAGAAGATGTGGTATGTAATGAGGTTTTTTCGGAGGGTCAGCAACGTTGATGGTTTCCGCTAGAAGACGTGGTCATTTTTCCTCAATTTTTCCCAGTACGAAGTCTCAATTTGTTGGGAGGGGGGGGTTGGCGGTTTCTAGAGGACGTTGTCGTTCTCCCGCAAAGTACTCCAATACAGCAGGGCGAGTGTCGTCTGCCTCTACAACAAACGTTCTGAAACGTGAGGGACTTTAGAAGGTTCCAAACTTGAAGTGTCCTGTACGTAAGGTTTCAGTGGCGGACCTGTTCAGAAAGGGCTTGCGCGTGACATGATCAGCCTTCGTTCAGGGTTTGCCTTTGCCTGAGCATGACACTAGTTGGATCAAATATTAATAACTTGGAGTAGATACACCGCGGATGTAGGGTGATCAAGTTCCACCGGAAGAGAGGGGGGGGTCGTCTTTAGGGTTTAACAATGAGGTTTCGCACTTACTGTGGTCGATGGCTGGGTTATTGGGGGGGGGAGGGGGTACTCATAGCCGTGCATGCCGTAGTCGTTAGACTTTTGACCTCTGGGGGAGGGTGGGGCTCCTTCAACATTAACGACAATGTGTCCCACTTGTGTTGGTCGATGACTTCAGTTTGGGAAGGGAGGGGGGCTCTTCTCTAGGCACACAACAACAACAACACGGTCGCACTTGTGTTGGTTGATGGCTTGGTGGGCCTGGTACCCCCAAGAATCCTCTGACTTCACGGGCGTCACCCCTTCCAGGAAAATTTTCGCCATCCAGCCCGTGCTCTGCACCCAGCCGGAGTCCAGAGAGTCGTTGAAACCCTGCCGTTGCAAGGGGGGGTACGCGGACAAAACCACGGAAAAACAAACAGAATCTACATTATTTACGTAGAGAAGTCGTGCCTACGCTATGATGCTCGCTCACGTCCAACGCACCCCCTCCCAGAAGCTGTATCGCGTCTGTGTACAAGTAACACGTCTTTTTGGAACCTTGAAAGCAAAGGAGTTGCGAAAATCGGCCTTGGCGCGTTGGTGTAAACACCGCTCTCTCGGCCACCATGCCTTGGCGACGCCGCTCCCACCTGCCATGACACCGAAAAATGCCTCATCGGAACCCCGCCTGGGTGCGAGATGTCGTCGAACACATCCCAGAAGAAAAACATGGGGCAGCAGCACACCTGATGGTTTCGTGCGGCAGACAGGGCGGAAATCGATTTTTCCCGTCGAGACTTGAGAAACGCAACAACACCAGAGTTGAGCGTACAGAACAACGCGAAGGAACGAATTCAAAACAGATAGACAGACTCATTAGGAGTCTGGTAGGTGCAACGGTACGTTGCTTTGCGCTCCATGAAGGACGAAAAATGGGCTTCCTCCACGAGCAAGATCACGGGGGCGCGCGATAAAAGCAGCTGAATATGTACCCTAAGCAAGCACATGCCAAACTGGAGCAGGGCATTTCACATCTGGCAGGCACAGCAGTACTTTGCCATACGCTTCACCAAGGACAGTAATAGGCTTCCTCTAAGAGCAAGGTCACGGCAGCATCACAACAGGCCACCATGGTGCCATAATCATGTACAAGTACATGTCAACCCGGAGGACGTTGTTCTCGTTGAATACAGTACCAAGCGGGGGGTGACGGGTGACGGAAGAGCACTACCTACCACACTGGGGTGCCTCAGCAGCGATGTGAAGAAAGCACTCGTGCCCTCGTAGCTGAGGCCCCAAAGCGCCACCCTTCCGTTGCTCCATGACTGTCGGTCAATCCAGTCCAGCACCTCCAAGGAATCCTTTCGAAACAAAACATACAAGACAAGTCAAATACACACATAGACTATGCCCTTAACTTTATTACGCTATGAAATCGTCGCTATTGCTTGTCCTGGACTCTTATCTGTAACATGGCCTTTCAACCGCACTAAGAACGACCTCTTTTCTTTGGTCAGCGGGTTAACGCGGCCGATGCTAATGGTAACGACACAAACACACTACGCGCTACTGTAGAACAGAAAAGTATACTTTATATGTTGGCCGGTCTTGCACCTGTTGCTCTTCGGGGCTCCATGGTCCCGGGTGCGTCCCGAAAGACGCTCCGGTTCCGCGGACGTCAACGGACACGAGAACCATGTCGTGAGACAAGAAACTCTTGAAGAAGGGGTCGTTGATGAAGCTGATTGGCTTGCCGCCGTTGACGAAGAGATTGAAAGGCCACCGGAGGGTCGCCGAACGGTAGTACCTTGAAGGAGATGTGGGGGCGCCGGTGGATCGGAAACTACCGTGAGATTAGGGGGGGGGCTCCTCGTTAGTTCCTCTTCGTTAGGTCGTTTCACCATTGTCCACCCACTTGTTGCGAGGCTGAAATCAGCCCTGCTCCGAACAGGAGTATATCAAGTTGTGCGTGCTATCAATGTTCTTGCCGATCTATTATTTTCCCTGTTTGCCTTACATCGAATCTCCCGTCAGTCTACACTGCTGTTTGAAGCGCATTTCTTCCAGGGCATGGGTAGTGCTCCCGTTGACGATTTTCACGGAGCCTCGTGTCCCGTGGTTTCGAACATCGCAGACAATGGAAATACGCTGCTCCAGTACATTTACATTGAATAACGCCAAGAACGACAACCCACACAACTAGAGAACCATAGGCCTACGAAAATTTCAGTTGTCCTGGCACGGCCAAAACGGGACAGCATGGCAGGTGTGCGATCATTTTTTTACCTAGCCTGATGGAACACGACGGGAAGAGTTTTCCTCTTCTCCAGAGCCTTGAGCGGAATCCAGACGTCCGTGGCCAGCTTCAAAGGTTGTATGATCAGCAGAACAACACACGTCACGCGGGCACGGCACCAACAAGATATTTGGAAGTGGAAGGGGAAGGTGAAGAAAATGAGTAACTTCTACAAGTGGCAAGTGGTTTTGGTGCTGTGGTAGGCGCATGGCGACATGCGAGTAGCAAACAGAAACGGTGAAGAAACATGCCAGGAAACAAGACATGAACGGTCAACGGCGAGGGCCACACAGCTATGACAGCACCTGCGCTTATTAAGAACTTCATAGTCAACACTTTACCGATTGCAAGAACTTGAGCACCATTTGTGAGCCCGGATAAGAATCCCTACACTCGAAAATCTATATAGCGGCGGCAATTTGTGGCCCTCAAGAGGAACTAAGAACTGCGGCCTCGGCCAAGACTAGTACCAGAGGTTCTTGAGTGCGGGCGCTATCTGTACGGGCACGCGTGGTCCATGGCATTTGGGTAAGCCAAGCATCACGGCAGCTGTGAATGCCACTGTGTTTCCTACATTAATGATGGCACGCCAAAGGCAGCAGAGGTGCGCGGGGGAGCTGAGGCTGCACGCGTTGCCTCTCTCTCTCTCTCGGAAGCAGAATAAAACATCCAGGGAAGCGAGAAATGGTGTGTAGAGTGTGTCCACATTTTTCTTGTCAGAACGTGACAGAAGACAAAGCCTCTTTGCCTCTGTCCTTCTATCTGCCTGCATGTCTCTGTCTCTGTCTCTGTGTCTCTCTCTCCCTGTCCGTGGGTCTGTCTGTCTGTCTGTCTGTCTGTCTCTGTTTCCCTGTCTGTCCGTTTGTATCTCTCTCTCCCTGTCTCTGTCTCTCTCTCGATCTCCTCTGTCTCTGTCTCTCTCTCAAACACACGTAGACACATGACGCCCCCTCGCAGGGTCCCAGTTCATGACACTTACAAGTGTTCTGTGCTTTCAACCGCAGTGAGACTGACGTATTTCCATTGGTCAGTCGGTTAGAGCGGTCGATGGTACTAGGAAAGACACACGCACGCACCTTGACACCATCCCTTGTGGTGATGTAGCACGTGCGTAGCTCGATATCCTTGCGCATGTTGAGCTTCCTGGGGCTTCTCTTCTCCCTCGCCGCAACATCGTCTCCATCATGTAGCCCCCACCAGTCATTGGTCAACATTTCGTCCTCCTTCCCGGTGCCCAAAAAACGCTTTCGAGCCCTAATGCAACACCACCAGTGCGGATGATGCCATAAGGATAGCGACTCCGACAAGTAATATTAGGAGAATGGTATCCACAAGGGATAATTTCGAGGACGCCCACGACTCAGCTATTAGTGGCTTATGGAGCTTGATGGTGGGGATGTAGGGGGTGCTTTACCTGTGGTTGGACTTGAAAGGCAGCGCGCTTGAACTGAACGCGTTTCCAGCAGTACTGTGCTGTACTACTGTACCTGATACCACGGAAGATGCCACCTTTTCGCAAGCTTCTAAGCTAATCGTACCCCGCTTCTGCCATCTTACCGTTCAAGACTGCATCTTGTCAGAAAGCCTGTGCTTGTCGACCACTTCTAAAAACAACGCAACGGCAGAACGGTCCGACGAGAGTAAAACTCGTGCAGCAGTTCCTCCGAGCTGAGAGCACAACATTAGTCTCCAGCACAAACCGTAGCATTTCTGGCTAATTCCTTCCTACAGTATGGTAGCACTGCCCCCCAATATCAATCAGCAAAGTCGTCACATTTGAGCATCCGACAACTGTAGTTGCACCTCTACCCGCGTGCAGGATAACAGAAAAAACAGCACGGTGTCCGGGTACACATTCAGCAGCTGATGTTTCTCGCTCACAATTTCGTTGCCCAAAAATAACTAATTATTTTGGCATGTGTTGACTACTGGTTGTACCGAAGCAGCTGACTCCATGCGCACACCTCTTGGGAGGCAGGACAACAACCGCGTAGAGCAGCAGCACCAGCGCGCCCACCACAAGGGCAACCACGTACACGACCACCACGGCCATTCTCTTCAGCACCACCCGAGTCCCGTGCAGCGTCCTGTGGATAGTCTCGGAGAGCTTCGAGCCTCCCGGGTTGGTGGTGAGATAAGTGACACTAACATGACGGCCGCCAATAAACGCCGGGTCCTCGTCGTTCGGAGCCGACGTCGCAGGCATGGTGGCGGTGACGGTGTTTCCCTCGCACTGCCGAGGTCTCGTCGCTGTTGCTGCGGGGCCTGGTCTAGCGATTCATGTGACAAGCGAGGTTGAGCAGTCCCGTTGCTGTGTTGGGGTCTGTAAAGAGAGAGGTTTGCGCAGGTATGCACATGAACATGTTTTCTTGCGCAGACTTGCTGGGTGTGACGCGCACAAGGTGTGTGCACTGCCGGTCGCCCCGGTGGTATAGTTGGTATCCTGGAAACCTTGTAGAGATCAGGTCAGGGGTGCGAACCCCGGTGTAAGCGAGCTTTTCTTGCAAAGTGAGTTTTTCTCTCGCTTCCGCTCCTGGCCTGATGAATAGCACTAGTTCGTGTGTACACAGAAGGAGATAGCTGAACTCTTCTCGCATTAAAAATCGAAGGCAAAGTACCGCAAGAGGGAAGGGCAGAGAGGGGTTCTGTGTGACCATGCGTTGGAGTTAACGGCACAAGTGCTGTGAGCGCTGATTTGAAGTGCAGACAAAAAGATAAAAAATCTGCAGTGATGTACATCGTGACCCCAGTACCCCAACAAAGGCCATAAAACTACGAAGATGAGCAGCAGAAGACAGTTAACGCTTCGTAGCGACGGGTTGGTGCTCTCAATGCTCTCAGTGGCAGCCGTACAACAGCAGTTGGTTGCTGTCCGAACAGTCGCGCGTTTGTTGTCTCGAGCTTCGGAAAAAACTGAGGAGAAACATGCACCTTGATGTCTGTCCGCCTCAGCAGCCCTGTACTCTCTCTCGGAAGGTCTTGTGCCGACAGGAAATATGGTACGAAGAAAGCAATGCAGTCTGCACTGTGACCATTCTCACCTACACTCTGCTTGCTGCCTGGGTGTGGCCTCTCATGCTTCACATTCCAGAAAGCGCGTGTTCGCGAAAAGGCGGCGGGATAACTCTCCTGGGTCATCTACGGAGATTTGGGTGTTCAAGAACCAACCAGAGGCATTTCCTAGAAAAAGCCCCGTGAAATCATACTTGTGTACATACCCCACAACACTGGATTGCTTTGCCTCGCGACCACGCTGGCGCGCTTTCTTCTCCAGCTGCCAGAGAGCTTGTAGCCTACACATCAGAGAGCCTATCATCAGTGCATTTCAATTGAGGATCTGATATCTTCCCGTGCTCAAGTTTGTAGTCATATTCTAAGGAGGGAAAAAGGAAGCAAGGAAGGCTGCTGGATTTCATCTGCGTGGAGCGGATCGCGGGTGTGGGGTGTGGCCACTGCGAGAGAGCGAGCGATAGGCAACGACAGAGCAGGGGGTGCATAACTGCTACCTCTCAGGGTTTCATCTTCCGGGCACGTACGATGGCTCAAGCCAGGGGGTCGAGGATAGGTGAGAGGGCTGGGGGGGATGAAAAGGAACGACCGACTCGTGGTTTGTACTGAGCAACTTGCTATGAGATGAGAGCATGGTACAGAGTAGATCGTGGTTGTACGTCGTATGCTGGGCTTGCCAAGTGCAATCAGCTGTCTCTTCCCAAACGATGAGACATATCTGTCTGATGGTGCCTTGTTGCAGCAACGAAACATCAGACAGCTTGCCGTGATACGGCGGCTAAATGTTGAGCGAGTAGCGAACAACGCAACACGCTTGCCACAATCAAAATCGCCATCGAAATCCGCTACATAGACTACATCGTGCCATACCACCCCGTTGTACTGTGGTTTCACGGATGATACCACCCCCTACTTAGCGAGACGAGCCCTCCCTCCCCCCCCCGAACGCACTCAAGCAAAGAACGATTGCTTCATTGCCATCTACTATTTGGACTTTCATGGCAACAATTTCCGAACGCGACCAGTCGTGGCGTTACTACCCTCGCCCTTGAAAAGTATTGAGCGGTCCCAACATGCACAGCAGATAGCATTAATCGATCATTTCTTAGTCCGGACCAGAAAGCAGTGGTATCGGTATTGCTAGGACCTCCTCTGCGGGCTCGATCGGGTCTTGGGGATTTATCATATGTCCTGTGGTAAGATCTCCCAGTCACCATGCCCTATCAAATGTTCCGCTTTCATTCCACATTGTAGATACATATACCATCAAACAACCGCAGTGGTTGCTGCGTTCGTAGGGGGCAGCTGCTGCTGTTGGCGTCATGTTAGCAGTTGCATGTTGCGGTTGTAGTCGTACACATGCAGACCAAGATGGGAGAGGATGGCGGCGCGTTGTGATGCTTGCTGATGAGGCTTGACGACTGTAGAGACGCGAACTCCCTGTTTTTCCCCACCTGTCTCTGCTGTTGTAGTGTAGCTGTTGAGGTGCACACCGTGGACAAAAACGACCGATTTTTCCCGTCTACATAACACGCAGCATTATGGGAAGACCTGCTGCAGATGCGGGAAGTTTTTTTTGCTCATGGTTGCACATTAACCTGATAGTCTGGCTTCTAAGAAGCCTCCATCTCAGGCTGTTACACCCATCATCGCTGGGTCAGACACGTTGATCCTTCGTGATGGCAGGAAGACAATATCCTCCAGTCCAACACGCCGTGGGTCGAGTCTTTCGATCTACTACCTCAAACATGCATCAAACCTAGATAGTTCCCAATCGCGCTTTTCTCTGTTGCTCGTTCTGCTGTGGTGTATCTATATGCAGATTTCGATGAAGACGAAAACATCGAGTTCACCATCGAGGGCGATGTCGAGGTGAGATGAACCACAAATTCCGTAATAGGCGTGCCCGATGTCGGGCAGGTGAATCGACCTAAGCGCGTTCCGGCCCTATTGAGGTCGGTCGACTGTAGGTGGAAGCGAGTGACATGGCAAAAACGCAGTGTGAGGTATTCATTTTGACAAACGTCCAATGTGCACAGGTAGTGGAGAACTTCGACTCGATGGGGTTGAAGGACGAACTTCTGCGCGGAGTTTACGCCTATGGGTTCGAGCGTCCCTCGGCGGTGCAGCAGAGGGCTGTCAAGCCCATCACCAGCGGGAGGGACGTCATCGCCCAGAGTCAGGTGGATCGTTTGTCACATACGTTTGGTTGGTTTAGCCGTTTTCCGATCTGTTTCCGCTTGTGTTTTTTTTCGTTCTGTTGAATGTTTGCTAGCGACAGAGACCCCAGCGCCAAAGGGGGGTTATGCTCTTGCTGCTTCTGCGATCCGTGTTTCTTAAGACGTATATCGAAATATCCCCTGGCGAAGACCTTGTAAGCAAGCTGGCCGCGTTTTATATTTCGTTCGATAACAGGAAGAGTGCCGTGTGCGATGCCCCCTGTAGCGGTGACGCTTTGCAGTCATGCGACGGAGTTACCGCCTTCGACTTGTACCGGCTGATCCTTCCACGGCTGATCCGTCGATTGCGGATCAGCCAGTACACGTCGAACGCGGCAACTCCGCCGCATGACTGCGAGGCGTCGCTTGTGCTGGGGGCATCGCACACGGCACCCTTCCGGTCGTCGAACCAAACCTGACACGGAGCACCCTTTGCTTTCATCTATTAAATACAATTGTAGTCACTCCCTATATCACCTTTTCCCGTACAAGAAACACGCTGACCATTTCTGCGCGCTGTGTGTCTCGTTCCTTCCATCTACCACGTCCTTCCTTCCATCTTCCACGACACACATCATCCACTGCCGGGTGTCATCGTCCACTTCAACTCGCCGATTGACTGTGTGATGACAATCAGTCGGGGACTGGTAAGACGGCGGTGTTCTCCATGGGCATCCTTCAGATGCTCGACACGACTTCGTCCGACACGCAGGCGCTCGTGCTGTCGCCAACGCGCGAACTGGCCGAGCAAACTCAAAAGGTACGATGCGAAAAGTTTGGGTAAGGTTTGTGGCTTTGGCAATTGGCCAGTGAGGGGCAGGGATGGGGACAGCTGTGTTGGTGTCGGTGTGATATTTTTATTTGTTGGCGAGGTGAATATGGTCGGTAGACTGTGTCCGCTGCGGGTCCTCGTGGTCCTGCAGATTGTTTGTCGACAGACGTCCGCGTAGCACGGTGTGCCATTTTGTTTTCCTCCGGACTTGTGTCTATTTCGCATGCGACTGCTGCACACGGTCTTATCTGCTACAGCCGTGGCTTTCTGGCGTGTTGGTTGCGCACTCTGAAATTGTTGGTGATTGCATGTGTTGTTCATTCTTTTTGTTGTGTTTTCGGAGCAGGTTATTCTGGCGCTGGGGGACTTCATGAACGTGCAGTGCCATGCTTGCATCGGCGGCAAGAGCATCGGAGAGGACATCCGCCGCCTCGACTACGGGGTTCAGGTAAGGTATTTCTAGTATTTCACCGCGCAAAACTGATGTAGTAAATGGCTCTTTCGTTCTGTGACAGACAAGAAACCGCAGGACCGTCGTGGTACCATAGTATACTCAACTGCTGTTCGATTGACGAGGCGCACCAGTCAGTCTCACGATCCGATTTGCATGTCGAGATGGCTGCAGGACCAGCGTTTCCTCGACTTCTCCTTGGCTTGGTGTGCCCATCGTGTCCAGAGATGTCTTGCCACGCGCGTGGCGCGTCAGTCGCTTGGTACACGAAGTTGTTGTTGGCTCTTATATGAAGACCTATAGCTTGCGCGTGCGCTATCCTGCCCTACCCTTTTCCTTGGGGTTATTCTCTTGGTGGTCAGTTGTCGGCTACAGTTTTTTTTACAGAACATGAGACCTAACAACTTTTGCGTTTTCCTGCCCTGCCCCGATCATTGGGGATTTTCTGTCTCGGTGGTCGATTTTCGGCTGCTGTTTTTTTTTGTCCGGAACGTTACAGGTGGTGTCCGGAACTCCCGGACGCGTGTTCGACATGATCAGGCGCCGCAACTTGCGCACTCGCAACCTCCAGGTGATGGAGCGACGGAGCGTGCCGGAATTTTTTGGTCGTTGGCTGTTGGCGTATTGTGTTTCAATGTGGCCACCAGATATGTGCTTCATCACGTATGCATACCACATGCACCACGTGTTGTCATCACTATATTCCGCGCTTTGCAAGGCTCTGTCTGACCCTTGGCCCTCTACATCTAACTGCATACCACGCGCCAACATGAACACGTGTGCAGATAAATAGATGCATCCGTTGTCCAGGAATTCACGCCCTGGAAAAAAATTGTCTCGTTTTCGCGTGTTACTTGTGTGTGTGCAGATGCTTGTGATCGACGAGGCGGACGAGATGCTCAACAAGGGATTCAAGGAGCAGATCTACGACATCTACAGGTACCTGCCCCCGTCCACCCAGGTGGTGCTGATCAGCGCCACGATGCCGCAAGAGGTGCTGGATATGACCAAGAAGTTCATGAACATGCCCGTCAAGATCCTCGTCAAACGCGATGAGCTCACCCTCGAGGGCATCAAGCAGGTAAGCAGAAGACCCCCACCGTCGCCATCAAGGGTGGTGAAAGCGGCAACGGGAGCAGCAGCGTCAGCAACAGCAGTAACGTCAACTGACCGAACACAATGGGGGTCCCTCAATAGTGCCGGTTGAATTATGCCACTGCCCGGTATAGTGCCGGTGAAATCGCGCGACACACAGATGGAATATTCCGATATTGAAGTGGTCTCATTCTTGAACAGTGATACGATAGTGCTGGGTGCCCTGTTCGTGCTGGTGAATCTGGAGGGTACATTCCGGAACCGCAAGCTGAGGGACTCCAACTTTAGGAGTATGATATTGAGGGTGTCGACGATTGGCGAGAGTGACCGCGAGACACGAGAGCAAGGTGTTTGTCTAATATGCGATGAGCAAAATGTTGAGGCCGTAGCCAGGGTCATGGCTCCTGACAGCAATGCTGGCCTCAAAGTCGTGGTGCTGTCAGGAGCCATGGCACACCCTGGTTACGGCCTCAACCTTTAGCTCATCGCGTTTGACGAACACCTTACTCTGGCTGTCGCTTTGGCTGTCGTCATACTGCTTGTTGCTTCAACTCAAACGACGTTATTGTTGTTGATGCCTTGGCCAGAGCTAGCCCGATGCTGTACGGCTAGGGAAATTGGGGGAAGGCAGACTTTGGAGGGCCAATTGCACAGTCGTTCCCGCTCGAGCCCTTCCCCTGTTATCCCTCCGCGGCCTGTTTCCTTTCCCGCAAACTCTTACCGAACTCCTTACCCCTGTTACCCTTGATCACCGGTTGATGGTAAAAATATCAAGTTTTTCGTGGCGGTGGAGAAGGAAGAGTGGAAGTTCGACACACTGTGCGACCTTTATGACACACTCACCGTTACTCAGGCGGTCATCTTCTGCAACACCAAGCGGAAGGTGCGGTCAAACTATGCATAGGACGATGCAGCAGTAGCTAGTCCGTGAGAGAGTGGAAGGGTATTCGGCGTGAATGGTGAGGGAGGCCTGTGTTGACGGTGCTTGGTGGTGTCGGTGTCGCCGTGGCATCATGCTAACGGTCGCCTTGGGTAAGGCAGGCCACACCACACCCTGAGAACAATGGCTAAGCCGTTGGTACAGCAGCAGCAGCAGCAGCAGCAGCAGCAGGACCAGCAGCAGTAGCAGTAGCGGCAACGGCGGCACTGCGCGAATCGACGAGACGGGGAGGGAGCCTACCTCCACCGTCAGGGCTTGGTTTGGGATGTTGGTGCAAAGCGCAACCAGGCGTTGTGATGATGCGGATAGGTACTGCCGCGGTGGTGCGGGGGGTCGTGCCGTGCCCTGTTGCATACGGAACACCGCAAGGCGGCAGTGTTCGGCGCGATATTACCTGTTCTTGTCGAGATGAGCCATGCCATGCCATCCTCGTCCATCCTTTTCATTCGAAAGTCTGACATCATCATTACCATTCCGTTGGCTCCGCGGTGCCGTTCTGCGAAGTACTTATGGTAGTTATGGTGTATGGCGGTGGCAAAAGTGCTGCTACGCTTTGTGTGGATGCCTCCATTTGTGAAAACGAAAAAACGCTGCGGCACCTTGCCCTGCATACGATGTGTGGCAGTCTGCCGATTGATTTTATTTGTCCCATCATGTTTGCAGGATAGAAGTGGATGTTGCTCATGTTTGCTTCGTACTGCTGCTGTTGAAACGTTTGCTGGACCGCAGGTGGACTGGCTGACGGCAAAGATGCGCGAAGTGAACTTCACTGTATCCTCCATGCACGGGGACATGCCCCAGAAGGAGAGGGACGCTATCATGGAGGAGTTCCGCTCGGGGAGGTAAGGGTTCCTGCACAACTCGGCAAAACCTAGACCTACGTTAGTGGTTCCTGCATAAGTTGGCAACACCTGGGCCTACGCTGGGTACATTATGGGCCGAGTGTGTGGATGGTGTCGTTTCAAGACTGCGTGCGATACTCAAGCGTGCTTCTTTTTTAGCCACCAGTGTTTTTTTGTTTTTTTCCGCACCAAGGGTAGCGAAGCAAACAATAACGTGGAGAAGTTCCGCTCGGGAAGGGGAGGCGTCCTCCATAGCAATAGCAACCCCCATTGGTAGACCTACGTTACCGTAGGTGATATGATGCAAGATATCATGCCCCGTGGGCGGACTGATTGTCAAAGGTCGAATACTTCACGACGAAAAGGACGCATAGATGAAACTGTGCGTTGTAGGAAAGCTCTTGGCGAGACGGCTCCAACGACGCCATTTTCGGCACGGCCACTCCAGTGCTGTAGAGAAGTCGAACTTTGAAAATCGATCCAACTTACATCACCTCCATATAGGGTAGTTGTAGAGTGTGAGGAGGTTTGGGATGGGATTGGGTTGAATACTTGGTGCGACACTCACAAGTTCAGCCATGTGGCCAGCACTTTTTCCGAGCCAAGGTTAGTGTAGCAACAATGACGATCGTTGTTGCTCAAGATCCCCATGTTGGTCCGTTGGTCGAGTAGCACTACAGCGCATTTTTTCGTTACATGTTTGGATGCTGTTGTGCAATACCTTGGGGTTATCGGTATCGGACACACTTCCACTTCCCAAACTCTTTGGTGCTATCACTGCTCGCCCACGAGCGTAACATTGATGCGCAAGATTTCGCCGAAAGCGCACGGGATTAGTTCTGCATGCAACATTGTTTCGGGGGACGATCTCTAGGTATTTTGAGTCTAGATCTCATCTCGGCCTGAGTATTGTTTTTATTTCGCCTCTGGCAGCGCCTGCTCACCCATGTCTATTCGCATGGCTTTTGTGGGCGCGTCCTTTGTTTGTACCAAGTACCGCCTCTGTTGTTTCGCCTTTTTGTTTGGTCTTGTTGAAATGCGTACCACTTGTTTGCGTAGTTGGCTTGTGACCACGGAAGGCGTCCGCTTCAATTTGACCAGGCGGGTGTTAGGAGGAACAGAGCAGAGTAGTACCGGACCGTTTTCTTGTGTCAAGACAACAAATAAAAACAATAACTTCCAACCCACATCCAGGTCGCGGGTGCTGATCGCAACGGACGTGTGGGGGCGAGGTCTAGACGTGCAGCAGGTGTCGCTCGTCATCTGCTACGACCTTCCCAACAACCGAGAGCTCTACATCCACCGGTAAGCGCTCCGGTAGACCACATCCCCGGCAGGGTTAGTTAGCCGCAGCGATAGATGGCCTGTGCCTTGTTGGTTGCTTGGCTATATGGCCGATTGGGGGTTGTTCGCACTAATAACTGCAGCGCCACACCAGTCAACAATTCCCTCCGAACACTGCCTTGCGCGTCTTTTTAGCATTATTGGACCGCCCTAGCGCGGACATTATTATTGACCTACACGTATGAAACAGAGAGGGGGTTACGCGACCCTAACCCTACCCTCCCCCCACACCGTCACCCCTACATACTAAAACCAAGTGTAGAGTCCTCGTGAAAGCTACTGTTAACAATCGCGTGCCCCCCCTTGTCGTTATGTTTTTTTTTTCCGTCATCGTCAGCATCGGCCGGTCAGGGAGATTTGGGCGAAAGGGTGTGGCGATCAACTTCGTCAAGTCCGACGACGTGCGTATCCTCAGAGACATCGAGCAGTACTACTCCACGCAGATCGACGAGATGCCCATGAACATCACCGACATGCTCTAGGGGTGGTGCTGTAGAAGCAGTCGCGGCTGCTGTAGCTGCTGTTTCGAACGTCAGCAAGACTTGTGTGTTGGTAGACGCTCTACAACGAGATCCGCCATGGACGTTAATCATGATGACCTTTGTTGTCGTGGGTGTAAGAGAATACGACCCGGGGTGGTCGGTTGAATGGGTATTGGTTCTCTCTCTTCACCATCCCCGTCTGATCGGTGTGACGTATTTTGGAACATGGAAGTACCCCCGCTTGGGCAGCATTTTTTTGTACTTTATTTCCAAGTCGGCGGTATTTGTGCTCTTCGGTGCAAGCTTACCAGACCCCCGACCGAACGATGTCGTGTGTCTCTGAGTTGTGTTATCGCCGTTTGTCTTGTAAGGACATGCGCGGTTTGCTGCAAGTCCGGCGTTTTGGAATACTTTGCTGTGGAGGTTCTATGATCACGCACATCTGTGAGCGTGCTGTTGCTGCCGGGCAAGTAATGTACAAATCGCGTGCCGGCGGTTTCACGAAGAGCTGGGTCTAGCGGCTTTTTTGTTTTCGGAGGGGGAGGGAGCATTCTACCACAGCTGGATCTTCCGCATTGTAGGAATGGCACAAGCGTTTTAGTGGGGTGGAAGGGTAGACAAGTGCGGGGCGTTGGTCCAACTTGCACAATCGTGCGTTTTTTTCAGTCGTCCTGTGATTTTTGCATGACTTTTTGGAGTTATCGGAATACTGCGTTGCCGCAAAAACGAGCTGCAGTTGACACAAAAGGAGCATTCGCACGGGACTGATTGCTGTGGTCACGTTGCTGCTCTCTTCGAAAGGCAGTTGGGTGGGGTATTTTGTACATGTCGATCAATCACTGGCATGTATTTCATCTAAGTTTCCTTTCGTTCCCCACGGCAACGGCAAGCATGATGCCTTGTGTGCTGTAGTGAGTGTTGGTAATTTCTCTTGTCGCTCACAGCGGCACCTCGACGAGTTTGTGTTGACTCTTGGTCTGCCCCACGGTGTGCATAGGCATTTAACTCTTGGTTGTTTTCATGAACTCTTTGTTTTTTTTACCATCGTGTCAGGCGGTGTAATCTTTCCTCACTCTCTTCGGAGGAGGCATTCACCGTTAGATCGTGCCCGACTGGTATGCGCGTCAATGTCGACCGCCACATATAGGAATCGGGAACCCCACTTTTAACAGCTGCTGCAAACAACAGAGCACGCGCCACCGCCTGATAGGAGGGACGGAAATTAGGGGAAAAGCTTCTTCTTGGCCCAGGGGCTCTCTGGTGCACACACGTGTTTGCACAGGCACTGGCTTCGATGCCTCACCGGGTCCACCGCACGTGATTCGTCCATGCCACCTGCAGAGTAGCTCAAGAAGATCAAAATTGATGTTTGATCGATCAATGACGCTCAGCTTTCATCGCGGCACTGCTGCAGTGCGCCCTGGGGCATGGTGGCCATGTATCTGTAGTAGGTTGGTTGCTGTTGTTGCCAGTACAAGGGAGCACTTAAAAACAAAAACACGGCGCAATAGGTTCTGCAGAGCGGGCTTTGTACAATATACCGCATCCATTACCGCACAGCAAGCGTCTATGATTTCGTCGGAACAAAAAACCTAGCCCATCAGAGGTCGTCTGCACCGTCGTCAAGGCTCTTGTGTGAGAGAGCTCGATCACGCCCGCCGTCCGCACGTCCGCGCACGTTCGAGGTTCGAGAGTTCACCTTGTTTCGCCGCCATTTCTTGCCCGAACAGGAACTTTTTTTCGGTCCACGCTACCGCTCTACCCTCCCTCCGGCTGGATTTCTCTCAACACCACCCTCACCAAATCTACCCTGACATACACGCACGCCTTTTTTCTGGCAGCAGTGCAAGCTTCACCCTTACCCCGCGTCGGCATCCTTTCTGCAACAAGTATGGCGGTCGGGAATGTAGCATATATTGCGGTGAGCAACAACAACGCCCGTTCCCCGTTCCCCGTGGTTGTTGCTGCGGTGGTGCGCCGCGTTTTCGCTGTGCTGCAACCGTCTTGTCCTGGCCGCTTGTGCTCATGTTGTTGGGCTGTTGTAGGGACACGCGTTGTTGAAGAGGAAGAAGGTTGTTCCGTGCAGTGGCCGTCGAGGAAGTGTTCCCTCGTGATCGCGGCGATGCCTGCTGCTGTATCATTATTTTATTTTTTCAAGGATGGTGGGCAGGCACCCCATTTTTTTTCCTGTCATCACCCGTTTATTCTGGACTCGCACACCTCGCGGTTGCGGTACAATTATGGACACAACAGCGGGGGTCACAAAGGAAGAAGGCCACGCAGATAGGAGTCGGATTCTCCGCCTTCGTTCCTGCGATGCTTGCCTTGATTTTGCAAGTACTTCAGAAACAGAAAAAACAGGGCTTTCTTGCCATGTTGGCGCAGACAAAACACCCTATTCCAGTGGCTGAGGGTATAGACTAGAAGCACGCTCTTTCCACACCGTAATTTGCGTCGTTCTAACCTGACGATTACTTGGGCTGAACGGTGCCGAAATCGACCACTCTGTTACATTCCGCCTCTGCTTCCATTCAGAGTCGCCTCATTCCCCCGGTGCGTGCGCGTGATCGGTGTGGTGCTGGGGTCGACAGTTGGTTGCGGATGTTGTGACCTATCATAGCAGTGTTGTAGTGCTTGACTTGAGTTGCGATGTACAGCAGAATGTATGTAATGAAACTATAGAGAAGAAGATGGGGTGGAGTATAGTAGCACACCCACCGCCCAACCATGCCCGACAAAGCAACACTAGAATATAACCACAACGGATTATTTACACACAACACATGATACACATTATGTGCGTAGTCCAGTTTACGTACGACGGTTTTTTCTGGTTGGGTTGATGGGATGGCTTGCGGCAGGGGGGGGGGCAACTACAGCAACAGCAGCAGTAGCAGCAGCAGCAGAAGCAGCAGAAGCAGCAGCAGCAGCAGCGGCGGCGGCAGTATCATAACTTGCCCAGCTCTCTGCTCTGAATAGATGTACCCTCTTTTCACGGAAAGAAAAATATATATCTATGCATACAATAGCCAGGAGTACTGCTATCTGTAGTACTCTACCAAAAACTATCACTCCGTATTCTACAATAGGCTTGGCGTGATATCCGGTGTTCGTTACACCGTACCAACTCGACCCACATCAACACGGTACGATCCCTCTGCCTTTGGTTTGTGGCAGGTGGTTGTCGAGGCGATCATCGCGGTCACAGAGACGGGAAATCGCGCTTCTCTCCTACCGTCGCTGAAGAAGCAGCTGCCAAGGATGAAGAGCAAGCTGCGGTCGGCGATACAGACCGGAGTCGAGGACGGCTCGCTAGCGAAGGTACTAGATAGGGCGGGGTAATGAGCCGCTGGGTAGCGACTCAATACCTTGCAGTAGTCTCAACTGCGATGCTGATGGTGCACGAATCCCGACACACAGCAGCGTGAATCGTTTGTGCTACAGCTACGCGTGTGCACCACACACAGCAGGCGTGCGACGGGCGCGACGAGGTTGCATGTGCGGCCCCGTTCAAAAGGTCGCACTTTCCATGCGGTTGTTTCTTTTCCGTTAATGCACATGCAACACACCCCACGAAGATACGAAGAAAAAAAATGTTAAGCCTTCCCGCTGTGCGGACGCAAAAACACGCACATCATCAGGGCATCTGGAAGAGAGGCACGCATGCGGCATGTACCTGGCAGCGAGCGTATCACACATCATGCCGTCGAGGAGCACGACCAGCAGCGTAGACTTAGGATTGCGACAAGACAGATGGCAAAATTTGCGTCAGGCTCGCAACTCGCCCGCCACATTCGTCTCAAGCCTTCCGAGTTTCCAGCTAAGCGAAAGCAAGCAGTCTAGACTACACTGATTGCGAAGACAGTCAGTAGCGCGGCGCAAGTACGTATCCTGAACCGACCCCGCGAGGAACCATCCCGATGACGCACAGCAGCAGAAGCCCCTCACGCCCTCGACGGACTCTCTGGATGGTAGGTGCGATCTCTGGACTTGGAAGGTGTGCTATGCTGTGTGTTGTTTGTTTGTGATACAATAATCGGTCTGTTGTTCGTTGTTTTGTGAGCACTCGGTTGGACCCCTCAACACCAACAAGCACCATCCAGGTTACACACGGCGCATGACCATACCCACAACGCACAGGTCGTAAAGGCCCGCCCCCTCCTGGTTATCATAGATAGCTGGTCTCGGATCAGCTTCTTGTTGTTCTCCTTCTGCTGATGTGGTGTAGCCCTCCCGGGGTTTGAACTCGAAACTCGACCACGTGTCTGTGTGTGTGCAGTGTGCAATCTCCGATAGCCATTTCACCTCTCCACAACTCCTGGGCTGCCGGGGACGCGATCTCCTACGAATTTGGGTCACATATACCTGTGAAGCGCGGCCATCTGTTGCCGAAGCACGACTGAATCGGTGTGACGGACAGCGCGTATTTCTTCTTCCTCAGAAGTGAACAGATCGTCAAACGATGCCCTATAGGTCTCGTTCTGGTCCGAAAGGTGCGATGAATGTGCGTCACGGAAATCAAACTTTGGGCCCCTGCAACACGCGGCGGAACTCAGGCCGATATTTGGAGCCTTTTTCTCCCTCCTGGGAGATGAAGGGAAAAAAGGTCGCGCTTCGCGCTCCGCGGCTCATTCTTAATTTGTCTAAGCGTGTTTGTGCCTATGTAACCCGTTTTTCTTCAATCCGCGTCGATCGCGCGAACCGCTTGATGATGGCAGTACTATCGCGGGGTGATAAACACAACTTGGCGCTCTCCTCAAGGGCAAACGAGGGGGAGTCAACGAAAAAACGAGAGCCGTGGCGAGAAAAAAACGGCATGGTCCAATGTCCAATGCCCGGCTTCGAAGTGTAATCAAACAAGGAGAAGATACAACAACACCACATCGAAACATTCTCTGCAATACCTGCTCTTCTCCTGTCATCGTTATCTTGCAGCTGGTCTTTCTTTGCGCGACACTTGTCTTGGTTCAATGGGACTCCTCTCTGTCTTCACCAGTGGATTCAGAATAGTCTGGAATCGGAACCTGAATATCCTCCCTATTGTTTGTTCCTGGACCCCTTTCCACTATCAACTCTGGAGGTCCATATTCACCAGTCGGCGTTGTTGACGGTTGTACAGAAAAAAATATGGATCGAAGCCCTTGTGTATCTTTACACCAACGTCCATCGCCCCGTTTGTGCCTGCATGAGAAAGAGCGAAAGAGTGAAAGAGCGAGAGAGCGAAAGAGAGGGAGAGAGAGAGAAATAGAGAGAGAGACAGACGGACGGACAGAGAGTCGACTCGCCACCCCCTAAGTGGGCAATGATACAAGGTTGTTGTTGAAACGTTTGTGTGACACTGTTCTTACCAAGATGCCACTCACCTAACGAGTTTGTGCCCTCCTGCCATTATTCTCCTTTCAAGTTCACGAGCATGGCTATTTTGTGTATGTGAGAGCGTATTCCTCTCTTAACAAGCGCTAGAAGCAACATAGAAGTTACCCTGAGCCATCAGCATGGACGTAAAGCTGACCAACCCTTTGCATCCCGTGCGTTTGTTGCCGCCGTCGTGATTTTTCTCGGATTTTTCCTGCTTTGGGCATCAACCTGTGTCCTCGGTACGACAAAAAAATACACGAACACTGTGTGGTGGACACCACCCACAAACGAAGGCGATCAGGGGCAGCAGGGACTCTCGACGACATGGTCCCCTTGGGAGCTTCCTCCGGACTATCTTGCTTATTGTAAGTGGTTGACCTCTGTCAAAGCGGCCACCACGTCCTCATGTCTGACGTCTTCATGTCTGACAGAGCCGAAGAGCACATGTTCCACCGCGAAGTTTACCATGATAGTAATTCAAGCGTTGTAGGAAAGGGGAGCGCAGTGCATCACAGTATAGATATCGTCAAACGTTGCAGAGAGTCAGGCAAGTCGATGTGGGAAACTGTTGGATGGGCTGTTCATCTATTCATGTACCGGTTGCCTCTTCAAGCAGCGTGTTGAACGTTTGGTTGACGAATATGGTCGTACAAGCGTGAAACCCTCTGAACATAACACGGTACATGTAGACTATGCGCTTGCTTTCTGCCATTTATTATGCTGCGTGATCGTCCTTAATTTTAGGAGTGTACTCTCAAGTAAACGCATGCCGTAGTCGTTAGACCATTAGCCTCGCATCCCTACAATGCCGGCACGGGGCGATATTCCGAATCAATGCCGGCCCAGGCTACGTCTCATGACGACGAACCAGAACAGCTGGTCATCGCCCTTGCGTTTGCTGTGCCTATCCAGATATGCCATGAGTTGATTGGGCATTTGGGGGGGGGGGGGG